TCCACACGCAGTCATTTTTACTGCAGGTAGATAATGTTTGCCTCTGAAGTAAAATGCTGACCAATGTTTAACAGAACAAAAAAAATTATAAAATTCCTCAAAAGAATGATGCATCAAAAGAAGACAGTACCACACAGCAATCACAAACACAGAAAATAAAATTTTTAAAAAGTTATACTCAAACAAATCACACACATTTGCATGCTACACCGCAGATAGCAAACCCTTTTCTTGCTGAGTAGATTCTTTCTCAGAGAAATAGATGAAGCATAGTCACTGGCCTCCAAATCCTATAATTATCCAATAACATAAATGATATTGACACAATTATAGCAAGCAAAAAATGTGTGTATTTTAAAAGAACTTTCCCAGCCCTTTTCTCTCCATCTCCCAGCTCACCAAATGCGTATAAATAAAACAAAATAAATAAATTTCTAGGGAAAAAGTTAACAATTTCCAAATTGATAGGCCAATGTAAATTACAAATAGCAAACTGCACAGAAAGACTAACAATAATTTCAGAAAATAGTTACCTAAAATACCTTAGTAAAAAATTACATAAAAGCACCAATTTCATAATTCATAATTGAAAACTTTCTTTAAGCTTGAAAATATAGATTTCTGATCTTAATTTAAATTGTAAAAATGAGCTACATAAAAACACTCAACATCATTTTAGAAAATGTGGTTAAATTATTTATTTAAATGAACATTTTTAAAATTACTAATTTACTGCTTGGAAGATTATTGATTAATACTGTCCAATAACTTTTACATTTCCATGAAACTGAAAATATATTTTAATTCCATAATTAAAAGTTATTATAAAAATTTCTTATAAAATAACAATTGGGGACCATTTTGTTTATAGACTGATTAACTATATACTTTTGAATTCTAGATAATAATTATGTTTATCTTTTTAACTTAAAGCACAATCATAAATATTTTAAAGGAATCAAATGAAACTGATATTCATCTTAACATATCAAAGTAATGAAAAGAAATTTTTCTATTGTCACTTATATGTCAACATGGTTCATACAGCAGGGGTCAGAGTAAGCATAATATGTAGACCCTTATGGTTACAACATGCTCCACAGACCAAGCAAAAACCTTTGCTACTACACCATATACAATTCTGTAATCACTTAAAGTATCAGTTTAACCTCAACAATGTGAAAAATTCTTTTAGTATGCTGATGTATAAAATTTTATGTCAATAAATCTCTACGCTAATTGGTTCAACTGCATCATAATATAAATCAATTGTTCATGTTTCAGACTACATGACATAATTGTTCACTATCTTAAGTTTGTTAATTAATAGATAATTGAAGAAAATGATGTCATTTACAACCTAATTACTATTTATTTTTCCTTTGAATTCTGAATATGAAATTTTGTTGTTAAATAATAGATATAAATGGGTGACCTCAGGTTAATAGTATATCATATTTTCCCATATCCTTAAACAGTTTCAAGAATATTATCTTTGCATGGTATCTATGGATGACTACAATTTGTTAAGCTGCTACCAAATATCATAGGTTCCAGCTACTTTTAAAAAATATTTCAATAGACATTCTGGTGCCTATACTAATTGCCTTTAATATATTTTTGGAAGCAAAACAACTTCTGAGGTCTTTGATATATAATGTCAAATTGCCTTCCAGAGAAAGCATGCCAATTTCTAATTTTCTTCAGCAATGTATGGAAGATTCTGATATCCTATATACTTACCAATACTAACTATATAATTTTCTTAATTTAGCCGTTTTTTTCATAGTTTTCATTCACATTTACCTTATTATTAAACGGCCCAATATTTTAATACCTTAATTGGATTTTTATAAGTCTTTATAGGTTCTTTATGACCTTTGTCCACCTTTCTATGGGTTTACTTTTGAAATAGTTCAGGATGTAGCAAACATATGATTCAAGAACTGACATTTTACAGAGCAAAAATTATCTTTAAAGCATGTCACAGAATATAAATCGCAGTTTAAACCCTGTATGTGACATAGGAAGTTATCTGCCAAGAATCAAAAAGACAAGAAGCATGTCATAAACATATGGAATTAGTTGCTCTCCATTCTTCCCAGTTCACGGCTAGCACACCTTCCCTTGCCCACTGAGGTTTCTTGTCATTAGCTGTTGTGAAAAGAGAACAGTGAGTTGTGAATCAAGATCCTCTGACAAATAATTGTACAAAAAAAGCACTGCAGCAGAGGGTAGCATATCAGTTGCCACAAAGATAAGGATGCTTTATGCAGGCAAAGACCTTTGAACAGCTAAACACAGAAGCCTCTTCATACACACAGCACAGTGATCTACTTTATCATTCATTCAAACACATTTTTTTTCCATTCATCAGAGCATCTTTTCATTTTATTTGCTGTTCAAAACACTAGGACACAAAGGATGTGCTTCACCTTGTGCGCTACTGAAATGAAATCTTGAGGTAAAAAGAAAAAGAAAAAAAAAAAGCCTTGCCCTAAATTTCCTTTCAAAAGTGAAGCGTGAAAAGACATCAAGCAGAGGACACAGTGTTATTGTTGCAAGAAAGTCAATTCTGCCAAGTAGAGTCCAAAGCCATCAGCAACAGCCCAATCTCTTCCTTACCCTCAATGAATGATAATAATAAAAAAAAAAAAAAAACGAGGAGAAAGGGTTCCACTTGTGGAAATAGAACTTCTTATTGTCCTTCCTCTTGATTATTGTGACCATCTACGAGCACAGCTGTTTCCTTTCTTTAATCCTAAAGTCAATGCCATAATATTGGCTCCCTTCTATTACATCCCTAGAGCCTATTATACATCATTTAGGCTCTATTCTGAGCAGGAGAAATTGCAAATTTATCTTTTCATTGAGCAGCAACTAGAAAACCTAACTAAGTTAACTTGGTACTGAGAAGTTGACAAATAATTGTTTAATTTTTATAGCCTTTAAAATTTGTACAAAATTTTTGTACAATTATATATATTATATAAATTATCATGGACTTTTTACAATGTCAAAATATATATTTTTTCAAACCAGGTGAAGAAGTAGGCCATCTAAAGGTTCTTCTTGACATAATTTTCTTTGCTACAGAGTCAGCATTTTTATATGAGGGTCATTATATAAGCTTCTGTAAGCTTTATGATTTTAGGTAAAATTTATTATTATTTGAATGGGGCTTTTAAAAGCCATTAAAGTAAATACATATTAGAACCTTCACCTATGGTGCTATTTCTAGCAGAGAGGATTTAATATTAGATGGACTCTTCTTGGTGCCCACAGGAACATTTTATTAGTTCAAATAACAAAAGAAATCATGGACAATGAGAAAATGAGACAAGATCATATGTACATTCATAGCTTTTATTAACCCATTTAGTCTATAGTAATCATGGAAAAAAATGCTTCTTTAATGAAAGACTGTACAATGAACAAATTAATAATAGTTTCCCCATGTGATTCTTCAGTAATTCAGAGGCATGCTAGAATTTTAAATCATAATGTTAACTGTCTACATGTGCAGAGTGTACTCCTTGTTACTAAGATTTGATTTTATGGCTATATATTTTTAAAAGATCTTAACATTTACCAGATCTTGTAAATGATTTTATTTGCTTGTTTGTGCAAATAATTCTTCCATAGCCCCTTCCTATAATCCTCCACTCACATGGTTTCCCGTAAACCTGACAGTTAAAATTGATTTGTAAATTAACCACAGGACTGAAAAACATGTATTATCTATGTACACATGCATATTCCACAAATTTTTTTATTTTGATATGAGGAAATGGTAATAACAATACTGTTTTTTTTTATTATTATTATTCAGTTCTAGGATATTGCCCCTGGCTAAATTTATGCTGTTCCATCTTTGCTAAGAGACTTTTCAGAAATTTGATATTTCTTTGCCATATCACACCAACTCCACTGAGAACAAATACAGATTTCCTTAAACATATAAAATGAGTAATATTTCAGCTGTTACCATACATTTCCTAGGTTCCGCATGGGAATATTGTTTTTTGGGGCCCAGAAGCAATAGGTATTTTGGCTGTTTGGAAGGTAATTTGTATACTTGTTCTCTCTGAAGGATACTCAGCTTACTTTGATATTAATATTTTGTATTATATGACCTATTAAATTGATTTTTTAAGGCCTCAGGCAAAAAAAAAGCAAAGATTTTTTTCTCTAGATGTCTCCTTTCTCAACTTGGTTGCATTTTGCAAAAATGAGCCGTTAGTTCTAGTATTTAACTCTAATATTAGAGTTTTACTGTGGTGGAGCCTACATGGCAAGTTTGAGCATTTCATCCTAGTGTATGGAGTAGTGCTGAAACACTGAATACTCCAATGTATGTTTGCTTCAAAAGAAATAAGCTCATTCTATGACTTGGAAGTGAATCTGCCAAAATTCAATCAGAAAGCAACAATAATCTACAGTTATCTGGGTAGGTATAGGCACTAAAGTATCTATCTTTTAATTCAACATCTTTAATGACTTCAGTCTCTTGTTATCTTGCCTGATTTTTAACTCACTAAAAAGTAAATAAATAAACTAATTTTTCCATACCGTTGTAGAGGTGAAAAGAGAAGAGTACTCTCTATGGCTAGAACATGCACTGCTATACTTTAATCCAGATCAAAGCCTGGGGATAAAATTTGGCCCTGTGTTTTCCAAATATCCATGATTTTGCACAAATTTTACACTAATGGCCCTTATATTTATCTTGGAAAGAATTGTGCTACTTCTGTTTCTATTCTTGTACCCATGAGGTAACCCATAGTAAGAGAACATATTCATTTTTCTGTTTTCAAAGCATCAAGTTAGAACAGACTTGCAAGTTTACAACAAACTCAGACTTTTTATAAACTCAGACAGATTTATAAATAATAATCTGCAAAATGATACCATACAGAAAACTTTTTGATGGCAATACTGACAAAGACAAAAGATAATTTGAGTATCTTATCAAGTAAAGTTCTGATGGAAATACATACCCAAACCTTCGGATTCAAACAGACATGTTTCATCCACCCCTAAATCTCGGCACCAGGATAAGAAATTTGCTGTATTGTCTCGGGCAAAAAAGGAGCCCGAGGGTGCACTGGCTTTGCATGGGATCTTCTTCAATGGCAGATTCTGAAAAATAAAGAAATTCATTCTAGGGGAAATCTGTCAAAGTTTAGTAAAATGATATTTTAAAAACACGTTTTCAACAAAATGCTTTGGAATGAACTCATGCCAATAAGTAGGTTTGTGAAGAACCATAGAAAGGAAATATAATGCTGTGCAAACCTGGCAGTAAGAGACTGAAAATCTGTTCCTGCAAGCACATCTCCTTTGCTTTTTAGTACCTAGGAGTGAAGAAAGTTAAGTACCTTTCTTGACTCAGGCTGCTACTTCTCTTTCTCTTCTATAATTTTTCTGTCCTTCTCTATCATCTAAGCATTCTATCAGTATTTTTCACAAAGTGCTTATAAATGTATTTCTTATTTGTGAAAAAGGAATGGGAGAAACAGAAATAGATGAATATTTTGTACATATAACATATATACACTTGCATTCTTACAGGTATACTGTAAAACATATACTGCAAAAATTATACAAGAATTATAAAGTCAAAAGAGAGCAGCAGAATTATTTAACATTACAAGTCTCTTTCTTTTTTTTTTTTTGAGATGGAGTTTCGCTTGTTATCCAGGCTGGAGTGCAATGGCTTGATCTCGGCTCACTGCAACCTCTGCCTCCTGGGTTCAAACAATTCTCCTGCCTCAGCCTCCTAAGTAGCTGGGACTACAGGCGTACACCACCACGCCCAGCTAATTTTTTTGTATTCTCAGTAGAGACGGGGTTTCACCATGTCGACCAGGATGGTCTCGATCTCTTGACCTTGTGATCCACCCGCCTCAGCCTCCCAAAGCGCTGGGATTATAGACGTGAGCCACCGTGCCCGGCAACATTACAAGTCTCAATCGTCAATACCAAGAAAGGGAAATATTAAAAATCATGTAGCAATAACATTTGCTGTGTGTGGTGCCTCATACCTATAATCCCAGCAATTTGGGGGGCCAAGGCAGGAGTTTTGGAGTCCAGGAGTTTGCAACTAACCTGGGCAACATACCTATATACTGTCTCTACAAATAAAAATTAGCCAGGCATTGTGTGCACCTATGGTCCCAGCTACTCAGGAAGCTGAGGCAGGAGAATCGCCTGAGCCCAGGAAGTTGAGGCTGCAGTGAACCTTCATCATGCCACTGCACTGCAACCTAGGTGAAAGAGTGAGACCTTCTATCAAAAAAATAATGTTCTACAGACTATCTTCCAGAACATTTTCTTTTAAACCACAGGGGATAGCCATAGCATATAATACAAACATAATATTGGTCTGAACTCTGCTATCTGACCTCAAAATACATGTTTACATTGTGCATCATTTCTCATAAGAAAGTGCTTAAGATAAGGGTGGATGTGAACCTGGACAGACTTTTCTGTTAACCAACTCATAAAATTTTAAGCAGGAAATCTCTCTTGGCACCATACCAAGTGTTATCTTTTTTCTTTAATAGAACATAACTTATTTCCATGACATTCCAATGAAGCTAAAGAATGTAACTTTTTGTGGTGTGAATGACTGAGCCATGCCTTCAGGTGATCTGGGCTACATAGTACTTTGACTCAACAAGCAAAAAAGTCAAAGGAGAAGTACTTTGTGATTTACATTTATAAAATATTTCTTATATTCACTGTGAACCCCTAAATTAAACCAAAATGTTGCTGATTATTGAGCTAATTTACAAGGATGGTTATAAAAAAATAAAATAGTGACCTAGGTGGATTGGTGAAGTCCTTCCAACGTGCTACTTACTAGATTTCTTACTAGAGTTCCAGGGGTTTTGTAGTTATACATAATAACTTAAAACATTAAGTTACTACATCATTGAAAATCTGTGTCTGTCTAATCTCAAAGATCCATCTGTTTGTTGTAACTTGAATTTGATTAAGGATAGATATAATCAAAGTTTCTGCATAAATACACAGATATTTACACAGGTATATACTTCAGGCACTATAGATATATAAACCATATATAGGGTTACCTATATAGAAATATTTCCTTAAATGATTTGGTCCAGATATCAAGTAATGGTTTCCAAAAGAATGGTTTCCTAAATAAGTTATAAAAACAATCAGAAATAGTATAGTATAATGTCTCCCTTATAAAGTATTCATGAACATTATTTATTATGTATTAAATTTAAATGTAAATTCCTTAACTCTAGCAATTCTAAGGAAATCTAAGAACATATTCTACACATAAAATAGCATTCATGGTTAAAATATATGTACAAGTATATTTGTTGCAACACTGATCGAATAGGAAAAAAGTAAAATACATCAAGAGAGCTGGTGGAACAACATATTATATATAAATACAATGAAACACTATACAATTATCAAAAATACAACATATGTACATGTGTTGAACCAGAAATACGTTCAGAATATAATGTTAAGCAGAAACAGATTTGCCAATAAATACTTGTAGTATGATACATCATTTTATGATGTATGTACATGCATACACATTAGTGTGTGTATACACATGCAATATAGATGACCATATAAAAAGCTAAATTGCTTTAAATATGTAAATATGTTGTAATACATATATAAATATTTACATATTTATAGAATGTAAAATTAGAAATAATTCAAGAAGGAAATGCATTAAATGCATTAAATTGATAGTAATTGCCTTTGAGGAAGGGAATTGACTGGTGTATTAAGGATGGTTTACTTATTTTATATAATTCTAAAACAAGTAATAGGATTTTTAGTGACTTTTATATTTTATCAATACTACCAAATTTTTAAAAATCGGCCGGGCGCGGTGGGTCATGCCTGTAATTCCAGTACTTTGGGAGGCCGAGGTGGGTGGATCACGAGGTCAGGAGATCGAGACCATCCTGGTCAACATGGTGAAACCCCATCTCTACTAAAAATACAAAAAATCAGCTGGGCATGGTGGCGCATGCCTGTAATCCCAGCTACTCAGGAGGCTGAGGCAGGAGAATTGCCTGAACCCAGGACGCAGAGGTTGCGGTGAGCCGAGGTTGCGCCATTGCACTCCAGCCTGGGTAACAAGAGTGAAACTCCGTCTCAAAAAAAAAAAAAAAAAATCAAAGTAGGCAAGTTATGTCACCCCAAACATTTCATTTATAAAAAAATCTGCTGAATAAAATCTCCAAGAGATGGTAGTAAAGCTTTTTAATGATATGAATAAGGCAAAAACTATGTTTAGGAAATGAACATAATTAGATCCAAACAATGAGTCACTTCAAGATATACCGCCTATATCCCTGGTGGGCAGGAGAAGCTACATGTGAAACCACTTCAAACTAACATATGAGTTTGCTTGTAGAAACTATAATCTAAGAAGTATAAAATAATTCATATACCTATATACCTATAGGCTTGCTAAGTGGCATGAGATACATGATCCTAGTAGCAAAAAGGAACAAAATATCCATTTTGCACTGAAGAAGCAAGAGATTGATTTGATACTTGATACACCAAGGGGTATTTTTAAAAATTTATTATTTTTTTATTGCATTTTAGGTTTGGGGGTACATGTGAAGAACATGCAAGATTGTTGCATAGGTACACACATGGCAGTGTGGTTTGCTGCTTTCCTCCCCTTCACCTATATCTGTCATTTCTCCCCATGCTATCTCTCCCCATCTCCCCACCCCGCCATCCCTCCTCCATTTCCCCCCAACAGACCCCAGTGTGTAGTGCTCCGCTCCCTGTGTCCATGTGTTCTCATTGTTCAACACCCGCCTAACATACCAGAATCTCTGGGACACATTTAAAGCAGTCTCTAGAGGAAAATATATAGCAATAATTACCCACATGAGAAGCAAGGAGAGATCTAAAATTGAAACCCTAGCATCAAAATTGAAAGAGCTAGAGGAGCCAGATCAAAAAAACTCAAAACCTAGCAGAAGACAAGAAATAACTAAGATCAGAGCAGAACTGAAGGAGATAGTGACAAAAAACCCTTCAAAAATTCCACAAATCCAGGAGCTGGTTTTTCAAAAAGATCAACAAAATAGACCACTAGCCAGATTAATAAAAAAGAAAAGAGAGAATAACCAAATTGATGCAATAAAAAACGATAAAAGGGATATCACCATAGATTCCACAGAAATTCAAACCATCATCAGGGATTATTACAAACAACTCTATGCACATAAACTAGTACCTGGAAGAAATGGATAAATTCCTGGACACTTGCCTCCTCCCAATCCTAAACCAGGAAGAAGTTGAAAACCTGAATAGACCAATAACAAGGTCTGAAGTTGAGGCAGCAATTAAGAGCCTACCACCCAAAAAAAGCCCAGGTCCAGATGGATTCACAGCCTTATTCTACCAGACATACAAAGAGGAGCTGGTACCATTCCTTCTGAAACTATTCCAAATAATCCAAAAAGAGGGAATCCTTCCCAAGGGGCATATTTTTGAAAGATACCCACAAGGGACAAGTCCTCAAATATCATTCAGCCCGCTCTTTAAGAATTTACAAGAACAACCACTGAGGATGTAAATGAAAATGTAATTTTTTTCCCTACAAAGCTTTTGGTCTTTACAAAATCATGTACCCATCACATGCCAGAATCTAAGTATTTACTTAAAATTCAATGCAATCATATTAGAAGACAGGAAACTTATTTTAAGTCAAATAAAATGAAAGCTGGCTATTGGTACTTCAAAACTTGGGAACCCCCAGTGTAGAAGAATTTAGCAGTAACGCTGATCTAACTACTTGGCATTTAGGCAATTTATAGGGTATTTGCTTCTGTTGTACAGCTGTTAAACTGAGTGTTCCCATGCCAGCTGAAGACTGGGAAATAGTAAACAGTGTGAATAGAAGCTTCCAATTTTCATCCAGATAAAACATTTCATTTGAGGATTTTTTTAAAAGTCACACTCATTAGCCCTATAAAATCCATCACATATAACTAGAAATAAGGATCTCTGCTCATGGGGAATTTAAAAGAGAACCTTCACACATAGCTCACCTGATATGTTTTCCATATCAGTTTCCCACTAACTGCTCGATTCTCCAAAGAACAACA